TCGATATTATCGTCCCCTCCCCTTAAATAAGAGAATATCAGTAGTAGTAAAGGTACGATAAATCGACGCGTTTTTATTTTTTTTTTTTATCTTTTATTTTTTGAAGCAGTTAATCAAGTCGATTAATTTTTTTAAAGCAAACTAATCGCGTCGATTAACGATTTCAATCGATGAATCGATTTAATCTTAACGCTCTCGAGGATTTTCCTGATATTCGCAATACGAAAACTTAAAGCAAAATTGAGAATAATCAACGAGGCGTTTCGATTATGATCAACCGTTCAGAAACACTGTTCATCTTATTTTAAGGGTACATATACCATTGTAAAATTTGAAGAATCTTACTGTATTACTTTTTTTGATCAAAATATTATATAATATTATATATATTTTTCAATAAAGCAAAAGTAAACAGCAAATCACAATAAAAATAAAAAAAAAATAAAAAAAATAAAAAAAAAGAAAAGAAAAATATAAAAAAATTAAGTTTCTTCTGAAACAGGATGAACCAAAAGATCGTATCATTGTCAATTTGAATCATTTCTAATAAAAAAAAAATTATATAAAATTTCTCGTTAAAAGAGAAGATTATTTTTCTAATAAATGTTCAACAGATTATTTTCTTCTAATTTTACACATGCGTTGATATGTTCCCTTACAATTGGCGAGTTTCAACAACTTTTTGTCGACGCCTTTCAGCGATAAAACGCCGTTTGGTATCGTATCCGTTTTGCCATTCGCAACGAATTCATTTTGATTGGCACAAAAAACTACTTACACGTAGAAGATAAACGTGAAACTAGTCGAACTCTCAACATGCAAAATAGCATTTTATAATTATTAAAAAAAAAAAAAAAAATTCAAAAATATTCTATGCAAAACGGAATCGATCGTCGAAACAAAATATACGATGAATTTTCTAATTCCATAAAATCTAAAAAAATAAATATAATTACAGAAAACAATTAGCATCACCCGTAGTAGCAATTAAGCGTTTTGTATCATGATCGAACACAATTGTTACAATTGCTCGAAAAGAATTTAGTTAGATTCAATGATCATGATCCACAAATCAAATCGCTCTGTTCTATTCTTTCTACAACGCTTTCCTCGTTTTTCTCTCTTTTTATCATATTTTTGTATCATTAAAGAAATAATTGATTGCAATATCAACCTAGCAATGTACTTCCGTTTATACGCATACACATTCTATACTTTGCATGTAAGTAATGCCTATTTTCCAAATGTATGAAATATGCTCCAACCAAGAAATCATGTCGCGATTTTTTGAAACATCACACCTTAGGGTAGTTTCGTATTAATTTCCTTTATCTCCTCCTAATACTCGTGTTGAGGCACATTTATCGTTTTGCTCATTCACTCGCTTTCTCTAGTTTCTCTTTCGCTCTCTCTCTCCCATTCAACATCACGCATTTCCATGTTACCCTGGCCCACGAATTATACTTACAGAAAATGAACTCTTTTTTGTACTATCGATATATGTATGTCAGATGCGGGGCAAGATATCGTAGTTATGCGCGATTATCCATCAGCTTGTTATTGCACCACTATATCGAGTCGATGATTTAATATAGTATGCATACACCATTTCATACGTGAAATTTTTACACGTAAAATTTCACATTTTATTTGCATGTTACGTTCGCTTTCGATCCTATTAGAATACTCGATTGTTCGAAAAGTAACAATAATAATATCAGTACAAGTTAAACGAACATTGAACTTTCAGACTTATTCAAGCTTATAGACAAATTTCCAGATATATATTCATAGATAATAAAGATGATATAACAATTCGTTAATGATGATTGCAATATATGCAGATATTATGTTACAATGTATACAAACTACAATGTATATTTTATACAGGCTACTGAAGAGATATTCTCATATAAGAATATATATCTGTAAACAACGCCCAGAAGTCCAAACAAGTTGTTTTTCAATGCGAAAAAGAAAACAATGAATAAGTTCGTTTTCTAGATTTTCAAATAATAAAAATAGATAAAATACATATCTATCTATGTAATACTACTAGATTATTAATGATTCATGAAGGGAGCGAGAATAAAAAAATCATCGCTGGACGAAATTGCGTATGCACACACAGATTTCTCTTAGGCGGAAATATTAATTAAACGCAAGATTCGACGAAAAATTCGTAGTGTTCGTCGATTGACTTTACAACGAATATTTTCTCGCACTTATTTTCTCGATCGTCACGGAAAAATTACATTTTTTTCGTAATTATGTCATTCATAAACAGGATGATGATCCATGATTAAAAATTGCATTATTATGCAACGTATCTTTTCTTTCTTACTTCATTT